GACACACAGACACACACACACAGAGACACACACACAGAGACACACAGACACACACACACACACAGACACACACACAGACACACAGACACTTGTGGAACTCTGGAAGCTGGCCTGTCTCCTATGAGCCCGGGACTCTGGAAGGAGCTGGGCTGGAAGCCTCCAGAAGCCCAGTACTCTGTTGGTGGGGAGGGGCTCTGCCGCTGTGCCCAGCTCTGACGATGAGCCCACCTCTCACACTCAGCTGCTGGGCCTCTCTGTGGCCGCCATGGTCGTTCACACTCAATTTGGGGACCACTTTGCTGTCATTGGCCAAGTATCCTTGGAGAGGAACCCCTATGAGACCATGCACCACTGGGGTGAGTAAGACGAGGAAGGGCTTGTACAGTGGAAGTGGGGTTGGGGGGCTCTGGGCCCAAGCCACCTGGAACGGAGGAGGAGCTGGCTTGGGCAGGAGTCAGAGGTGACGGAGGCCCCAGTGTCTTGGCTGCACTGGACAGAGGGATGTATGGGGGTGGGTGAGAGCTGACACTCCTGGTTCTCCTGCCCCACAGGAGTGTTCAAGTGGTGTTAGGTAGCCTTGACATCCATGCAGTCAGGAGTCAGACCACCTGGGGCTGGGCTCAGAGAGAGGACGGTGGGATTGAATACCATATTCAGAGGAAAGAGGGTGACTGCTGGACATTCCACTCCTTGGAGAGCGAGAAAAGCTTCAGTGGAGGGAAGGGGTGTCCCTAGTGGGAATGCAAAGGGTCCAGGAGTGTGGGTGCCCAGTGAGCAAGGGTGGGAGACACTCGGGCCCCTGAGTGGGTAATTGGCAGCCCTACTAGCCCTGAGGTTCCCTGCCTCCCAAGGCTCTGAGCCTCCTCAGGCAGGAAGCCTGGGGCCTGGGCCTGGGCTGATAAGGTCACAGCCCCACTGCCACCTGTCATTAGAGTGTAGGGATGTGACTTCAAGATAGTCTCTGAGGCAGGGAGAGCAGGAGAAATGGGGGAAGGAGCCCCCGCCCAACCCCCGCCCTGCTTCTCTCCCCCTCCCCCTTCATTTCCGGTCGTGGGAGGAAAGAGGCCGTTGGGCATCGGGAGGCCCCTCCCCACTGGGTCAGAGATATGTGCCTTTTGAGCCTTCTCCAGAGGCCCAATCCCAGCCTCGTGACCCCCAAAGTGGATTTCAGGCCCAACGTCCACGTGAGAGCCCTCCCCCTCTGTCTCGCTCTTCCTACAGCTTTCTATGTGGGCATCAGCCTGGCAGGCCTGCTGAGCCTGGGTGCTGCACTGACTACCACAGCCACTGTGAGGGAGGCCCAGGGCCTCATGGCCATGGTGAGTTCACTGTGCTGCCAGATAACCCCAGTCCCCAGACAGGGACAAGAGCTGCAGAGGGTAAGCCCAAGGAGATCTCTGATGCCAGCAGAATCCGGATAGAAACAGAGGCCAAGAGATAATGGCCAGTAAGACACTTCGCCAGTCAGGACCCAATACTTGGTTGGTCAGGACCCTCTACCTGGGTTAGTTAGGACTCTCCATGGGGCTCTCCTTCACCCCGTCTTCCCCACATCCAACAATGGTTCTGCAGGGCCCCTGGAACACAGTGCTGGGTCCCCCAAAGCCCTGGGACCATCTCCATCTCCTGGCAGGTCCAGTTATGATACCTAGCAGGCTGTAGGGGTAGAGTTGGAAGAATTACACTTCCTGTTTGGAGACCAGCCAGGGACAGGAAGGTCTCTGTAACAGTACAGTAGCCCAGCTTTCTCCTCACACGGTCCTTCCAGTCATGTGAGGGGTCTCACTGCCCTGGTCTCCAACCCCACAGAAGCCTTTATTGCTGCTACATCTCTCTCTCCACGCGGGTGCCCCTCTGGGCCTTCACAGCCTCAGTGGTCAATCCAGACTCCACCTGCCAGCTCCTCCTCCTCGTGGTCACCCTGTTCCTGCTTGGCCCAGGCCTTCCCCGTCATCTGGGGTGGCTACTCCCTGATGCCCCCTTACCTGCCCCTCCATTCCAGCCATGAGGTCCCTTTCCCCACCTCCACCCTTCTTCCCTTGCATGAGGGCCTCCTTACCCTTGCCTGTGAGTGTTTGGGGGACCAAGGGACCCTTACCTGGGGCTTTGCTTCCTGGATAACCCAATTGGGCTTTCAGGAGCTCCCCAGAATCACAGGCCCCTCAGCCCAGCCTCCATGTTCAGCACATGCTACCAAATGACCCTTGGTCTCCAAGGACAGAGTCGCCTCCTAGAGTTGCCGCGGGGACCAGCCAGGCCTGGGTGAGCCTGGGTGGCGGGGCAGAGCAGGATCTGATAGCTCCAGTCTCACCAGGATTCTTGCTCTGCGGACACAGGGGCAGGGCAGGGATAAGGCTGGGCCTGAGTAGGTACTGAGCAGGGATAGTGTGGCTTTGGGGCCCAGAGGGAGGCCCCAGTGAAGAGGCGACTGGCTACAGAGGATGTGTGCCTTGCTAGATGTGTGTATGGTAGGGTGGAGATAGATATTTACAGAAGACAGCATGAAAGGCCTGGGCCAGAGTGCAGCATCAGACACCAGAGGGCGGCATAGAGCCAGGCTGGAGGGTGTAACTCACTAGGCAAAAGGCAGGTGGGCCAAGGACTTGCTGTACCTGCCCAGACCATGACACACCTTTCTGGACTTCCCAGCATGCCCTTCCTCCTGTGTCCTGTGTGGCACCCCGTTTTATGTGGTCCCAGGAGCACTAGAAATTGCCATTTCATCTCTCTCTCTCTCTCTCTCCCTCCCCCTCTCTGTCTCTCTCCCTCTCTCTCTCTCCCTCTCTCTCTCCCTCTCTGTCTCTCTGTCTCTGTCTGTCTCTGTCTCTGTCTCTCTCTGTCTCTCTCTCCCTGTTTCTGTCCCTCTCCCTGTCTCTGCCTCTCTCTCTCTCTCTCTCTCTCTCTCTCTCTCTCTCTCTCTCATCTCCTCTGTCCAGAGAGAGAGTCTTGGGTAGAACATGGGTCTACCCAGGCCTCTCAAGGCCTCAATTCCAAATCCACAGCCAGACTCCAAGACCCGGATGACTGTTATGTGGCTCAGGCTAATAGGAACCGGCTGTTGGAGGAACAACCAGATGCCTGTCCAGAGCTGTGGTTCTAAGGTCACTCCAGGCTCAGTGTGGGTTCCTGCACCCCAGCACCCTCTGACCCATCATGAACAGTAAGCCCAGCTGGGCCACCACGGGGTCACGGGGAGTCCCGCTGGTCACAGAAGCATGCCTGTGCCTGGCTGTGTGCATGCTTCTGGGCCAAACCCCTTTGCCTGCCCTGCTTGGCCCTGTGACTACCTATGTGTTGTATCTGGCGTGTCTGTGTGTCTGAGCACATGTGAAAGGCCCTGGCAAGTGGAAATATCCCCCTCATGACTATGCCCCACTGCCCCTCCTGCTCCTTCCCGCTCTGCCTTCTACAGCCTCTCAACACAGGAAATCAAAGAGCTAGCAGGGCTGCAGCAGCCCAAGGAAGTGGAGACAAGTTGTTTATGAGTTTATTATTTATTTATTTATTTATTTCCACTTAGAATGCGTAGAGAGCAAATGGTCCAAGTGAATTAGGTCTGATCCCATCCACCAACCTCTCTGCACTGTGAAGGCCTCGGGAAGTCTGGATGGACCCTGGCCCAAGACTGTCACTGAGGGAGAGGGTGGCTTTCTCTTCTGAGAAACAAATGGAGAGAGATGAAATGGTTTTCTGGAAAGGGCTGGTTCTATGCTGGCTCACAGCCTCAGCTGGGAAGAGAGTTGAAGAATGGCTTCCAGATGGGGAAGGCAGCCCTCAGCCACCAGCCAGAGGGAGAAGGAGAAGCAGGAGGAGCAGGAGGAGCAGGAGGAGCAGGAGGAGGAGGAGG